TGTGAATGGGGTATATGTTCGCCACTTTCCAATCAGAGGGGAGAATGCCTCGGTCAAAGGACGACCTGAAGATGTGCAAAAGCGGTCTTGCGAGTTCGCCAGCCAACTCCTTCAGAACGTTTGCCGGAATTTGGTCGGGACCCGGAGAATGACCCTACTTAAGCGCTAGAAGTTCCTTCCTCACATCTTCTTCCGTGAAGTTGATGTTTTCTATTATTCCGTTGGTTGTCCAAGCAGGCAATCCAGCTTCCTCAAAGTCCGTTTCATCGGTGAAAACAGATACGAAAAATGGCTGAGATGTTCTGCCTTAGCGTCATTTTCGATGATATCCTCATTGTTTTCTCCTTTAAACACTAAGATCGTCTCCTTGTTCTTTAACCTACTGTTGATGTAACTGAAGAGCACTTTTGGCTTATTGACGGCCCGTTCCATAACTCGCGTTTCATACTCATTCCGCGACCTGCGGATAGCCGACCTTACCTCGTTTTGCTTTCGACGAAACTGCTCGTAATGAGATGGTTGCTTTGTTGTTGCAAACATTCTCCATAGTTTGTTCTCCCGGTTTACTTCTTTCTTTATATCCCGCGTTATCCAGGCAGGACGAATACTCTTTCTGACTCTCTTTGTCGGACACTTTCGATGCATGATGTCTGTTACAACTCCTTTGAGAGTGTTCCAATCAACAACCGGATGTCTGGTAAAAACATCATTCCTGTCCACTGCCGATAATTCCCTTCTCATGGCGACAAAATCGCCTCGCCAGGAATTCAGCCGTGGCTCAGTCGTATTCACTTGTTGGTTGCATAGTCGGTATTCCAAAAACAGCATGACATGGTCACTCTTACCCAGCGGTGTTATGGACCTAAGTTCGCCAGGGCTAAGTTGGTCTTTTGTAAGGACGAGGTCCAGGAAATTTGCTCTTTGATCCTCTCTGATCCTGGTTAGGAACGCGACATTGTGCACCAGAAAGAGATTAGCCGTTAGCTTCAAGAGCCTGGAATCAAAGGAATTTCGCGAACCATTAACTAATAAATTGTTCCAGTCAACCATGGATGCGTTGAAGTCTCCGGTTATCAGTACCTCTTGGTTTTGTGACACCTCATTAATCAACCCAAACATCGCCTCATCAACCTCAGCAGTTTGGTCGGGCGGCCTATATACGGTCAGGAAATTCAAATTAGGTGAGCCACGCACCCACAGTTTTAACCACATTGCTTCACAGTCGCGGGAGTAATTGCTTTTGTGTTCCGACGCGATTATTCCTCTCTTGACGTAGACCGCTATCCCCCCCCCTTTTTATGCAGTCTGTCCCGGCAAAAAGTTGGTATTCATCGAGTGTAAATTCGGCATTCATGACTTCGGTCTGGAACCAAGTCTTTGTGATAGAAATGACATCCGGCTGCGTATCCGTTATCCACACTTCCAGTTCATTCAGCTTCTGGAACAAACTCTGAGCATTTGCAAAAACAAAGCGAAGCTTAGCCCGGGCAGATTCCCGAACGATTTTTGGGTCAAAGGTGCTGGATATTTCGTGCGAGTTTTCGGGTCTATCGTTCCCTTCCGATTCTACTGCTGTTTGATTGAACTGGATGTTAGTGTGTTGGTCGTCGTTTACTCTGATCGGTTTGTCATATAGGAGCGTTCTTTCCTTATTATCTGGTTGTTCATTATGCTCAGTGTTATTGGTTGTCTCCAGAGGAATGAGTTCCGAAAGATTTACGATTTTGCCATTCATTATTCTTAGGTTTTTCTCGCCGGAATTGTATTTTCTGAGGAGTTCGGCCTTGAGTTCCCTCCATTTCCCCCGTTCGGTCGGTGAGAAATTCCGCTGAAAAAATTGTCGGGTGGGCATCCCGCAGTGCTGGTTTCCTGTCCAGCAGTAATAAAGCTTGTTCCTCACTTTCTAGAATAATTTATATTGGTCTATGATGGTCCGGCTCGCCCTTCAAATTCTTTATTCGTCCTATTCTGAAAGCTTTTAAGACGGGGATGTTCTTGTTCTCTTGTAATAGGGATTTGAGGTAATGCTGGAATAATTTTATATCGTGGTTTATTCTGTTCTTTGGTATGTCTGCAGAAGACTCAGGCATGCCCTTTACGATTATGCACTTATTGTGATCAATAGGGCGCTGTCGTTTGTTTTTATACGCAGAGTCTGCATTGCGAAAATTCTTGTTGTCATCATTGTCCAATTCAGAGACAGTTGTCATGGTATTACTACCGCAGGGTTCTTCGTTTATCGATGCTTCTTGGTTTAAGTCAGTTTAAGTCAGTTTATTAAGGGAATGAGGCTTTCGCCCTTGAGCACCCTATTCATGTCGATTAACAGAAATAAAGTCATCAATTACATCAGCAAATGCGAAAAGTTAAGAAGTTAGCGGTAAGTGTGAGCCAGGCGCAAACTGCCGCCGCTAAAATAATCATGATTGTATGTACAGTAGGTTCTCAACAAGTGAGCGTCTAGTCTGCACTTAAAGGATTATGCACTTAAAGGTTATGTGGTAACTCTTTTGGCAGTGAGGCATTTGCTTGCATTCTGTGTGGACTCTGCTCTCCCTTGTTGACGCTTCGACATACTTGGTTTTTCCACGATGCTTTGAGACATCTCCTGATTTTTTGGGATGCCCTTTGGTTATTTTTCGCTCGCACATGAGACAGGGTCTCGGTTGTGGTTGTGTCCGTAGACGGGCTGTCTTCTTTTTCAGGGGCTAATACAGTTACTGAAGTCGTATTGGCCGTTTTTCTGGTCATCTTCTGAACTTCCGACATCGCCATCTTTCTCCTTTCGGGTGAATTGTGAGGAAGATTCATCAGCATCTCCATCTCAATTCTTAGATTCCTTATATTCTTCTCCGTCTCCAAGATTTTCTGAAGAAGCCTAAAACATGACGTGCAGGTTTCGTCCTCGTATTTACCATCCAATACAGTTATTGGTCTTCTTGCGTGTTTGGCGGGTGGTGGTAATAGAACTTATACGGGTGGGGCCTTCGGGCGCACAGATAAGGAAATCGAGAAATTGATGATGAGAAAGAAATGTAAAATAACATCGGAAGTGTGAAAAAGGAGACACGATCACACGGACAAGAGCTTTATCCGTCAGTCCTTTCGGATTCCTGCTCAAACTCATTATCAGAGACGAAAGCAGATACGGGCGGTTCATGCACAAGGGCTGCAGTATTTGAAGGATGCAGTCGCCATGCCACCGTGACTCCCTTATGATTCATTGATATTTTGGCAGATTTTGAATAATTCATATTGACCCAACTGTGAAAAACTCGGCGCCTCGGTGGGATTCGAACCCACGCTGTAAGGGGGCAGGCTTTAGTACAGCCAGCGCTCTAACCACCTGAGCTACGAGGCCCCGCCCAAGTGTGATAAAACTCGCGTCGTCCGGAGGCGCCGAGTTTTTCACAGTTGGGTCAATATGAATTATTCAAAATCTGCCAAAATATCAATGAATTACGTGAGCCTAATAGTCATCTGGTGGATTCTAGGTGAATTACTTAGGAAATCCTGCTTGGGCAGTCAACTTACTGTATCAGATTTGGTGGATTCCAGACGTTGCAGTAGGTTGGGCGGGTAACTTGACCCAAGTGTGATAAAACTCGCGTCGTCCGGCGGCACCTCGTAGCTCAGGTGGTTAGAGCACTGGCTGTACTAAAGCCTGCCCCCTTACTGCGTGGGTTCGAATCCCACCGAGGCGCCGAGTTTTTCACAGTTGGGTCAATATTAATCCCTGATGATTGTTTGGTGGTCGATATTCGCGCCGTTAATTGCTGCAATTTCATTACATGTGCTGGATGTTGGTGTGACAATTGCTGGACCATCTGACCCACCGACCCTGACGTTGGGAACAGTGTTTACTTGTGCGCCCACCGCGTGGATAATTACGCCGCCTGGGCGAAGTCTCAGCATGGAATATGGAAGGGGAAGTTGGTTGCACTTGTTGATGGACTGTGGGCCAATGAACCATGACTCAAGCAGAAGCGTGGTTAACGCGGTTGTCATCTCTAGTGAGAATTTCGGTCTCGTCGAATTTGAATGTGTGGCCGAATGTCTTCGAAGGTGACGAAACTTGAGAGCTGACATCATTTCTCCGCACTATTCAGTATCAGTATCAGTATATTTCAGGGAGAGTAGGTGTGTACCTTTTAAATCCCTATTGGTTACATGCAGAGGATATATATGGAGGAAATGGAAAGGAAGTAACTTGAAAGAAATGCGAGAGGAATAGCAAAAACTGTACAGATGAACACAGAATGTCATGCGTTAACAGAGTTTAAAGGCACATTAACTTGCTTTGTTGATTAAATACAGCGGACAGTTGAGGCACACTTAAGATACGGGAAAAGAAGTAAAATTGTTTAGTTTACAACTACTACAGCATATTCGGCCATTCGCATTCGAAGCTGTCTTCCGCCTTCTCCGGCGTAGTTGCTTTGTCCGAAACCGCATCAGATCCGATAAACGACTCCAGACTTTTCTTGCCGTGGCAGATGGCCTTTCGGTTTCATAGTCAGGCGTCTGATAGTTGTTCCCAGTCTATGTGCAACTCCAACCCCAAATAGTGCGAGAAGGCGCCGACAGTTCCCGAAACCTTCTTGCCATACGGATGCGCTCGCCAAAATTTTGGGTCCGTGCGGTTTGGCCTTTCGTCCCTTTTTCGTATGCACCAGTTGACGAAGTTCAGCCGGTAGCCATTGGCTTTAAGGACCCGTCGGAGGTATTGTAATTCGGTTCACTGCAGTGCGTTTCGACACGCCGATAGAGCGTCCTCACACAACTGCGTTTGTGGTGTTTGAGTGGTTGTGGCTGAAGTTCAGTACTCGCATCGTATTTGTCGCTTTCGTGAACACTATGGTCTTTAGGACACCACAATCTTTGCGGCATACAAGGACATCTAGGAAGGCCAGCTGGTTGTTCTCATCCTCCTCCATCGTAAATTGAATGTCCGTGAGCGCGATGTTGAGATGTCCTCTGAATGTCAACACCTGGTTCCGTTAGATAACGACGAAGGTATCGTCCAAATACGGCGCCCAGAACTTCGGTCTGTGGTGTTGGAAGATCAGCGACTCTAACCGCCGCTGGACCGCCTCGGCGATGAATCCCGAAATGGGTGAACCCACTGGCGTGCCCTTCACCTGTTCGTAGATTGTCCCGTCAAGCGTGAAGTACGTCCTGAGACAGAACTTCAGGACCTGAAGGACTTGGGCTTCTCCAAGACGATTCTGCGTTTCATCGTATTTGCTATGTAGAAGCAGCTCGACTGTCTCGATCACCAGGTCCTGGGAAATAGAAGTGCAAATGGATGTAATATCAGGACCGGTCCCAGATAGAAAGACAATTTGGACTCCAATAGATAGAGCATCATATTCCGTACAGAATGATTAGGTAAAAGACTAAAGTAGTTTGGCAGCCGGACGGGCTCACACGTCCGCTGACGCGCGAACAGGCGCGCGAGTGACAGAGCGGCAGTCGCCGGTGCACCTCAAGCGTGGGCATGTTTGTGTCCGCCGCGAATTTCATTGGTCGGTTTGGTAGCTGTAATTGGTCGTGAATTGGACTGTCACTCATACGCGCAAGAGGCTCCGTGTTGCACTACGGCTTGATTACAACGGCCGGCGGTACTAGCTCTGCAAATATACAGAAAGCAGGGGAAGTTTATTGCTGTTTTTCACCTTGGTTTTTTATCCTTGCCTTTTTGTGCCCTCCAGAAAAGTAAGCGTTGCATACTGGTAAGAAATTACTTTTCGGATTATGCATACTGTCGGCCTACACGAGCCGATATTCAACTGGTTTTAGCAGTTCTTCACTATAAAAACCAGCTAAATATTTTTCTGTTAATACTTTCCCAACAGTGAATCGAACACTTTTCTCAATCCTAATCAGTTTTAAAGAAATGTTGAACAAAGATCTGGCATAGCCACATAGCGACGCCTTTATTCCATTTTCAAATCCAAACTTGACATCGCATGTAAGAGCCCCAATCACTAGGTTTGCATTCATCTGCTGAGTATGCAAGGAAGGATTCTGCTGATTTTCGAAAGCACCGCAACCAAAAGAAGTTGCAGTAGAAGAATGCGCGGACGCCCAAACTGCATTATTTGTATGCAAAATTGTTGCTGACAATTAACGTTTGTTTATGTTGGACACCGAATTCACATCTTGGCTGATCTCCGCTTCTATCCTCAATATCGTCTCCACAGTATTTCAACACAAACTATGACAACTGGCGATATTCAGGCCGTGCGGTTTAGTGGCTGTCTATTGTGAGCTAGTACGTCACCCCGCTGTCGGATGACAAACCGATATTGCAGCTGTCGTTATCGAAGATGCTCATCGTGTGCCCCATGAAATGCTAGGCAGGCGGACGTTGACTTGCATTTGAATCATTTTGTTATGGTATTCGACGTTCGTCGCATCCACCTCACTCTCTCTCCTCTCCCCTTCTACGACTTCGGGACGGGACAGGGACCGACTGCCGTTGCAGGCCAAATCGATGTGCATTTACTCATTCACCTACTCCTGTGCATTGGGCGTACAACGAAGCGTCCAGGAAAGAGTCTATGCGAACACATGTCTGCCTGGCTAGGTAAAAGGGAAAATCTACCGATTTCAAATTCAGTTCTCGTACACCTAATCGTCAAGAACCACCAAGTCGACGCCAAAGAAGCCTTTGAAGTTATCTACCGGACGCCAGCACACTTCTCTAAAGACCTACGAAAACGGCGGCTAAAACAGCCGAGGTGGTGCCTATTCGATTAAAGAATCCAGCTCTCTTTCTTGTCAGAAGACGCTGACACAGGCAGTCTGTCTTCCGTGGCCGACTCCAAATCCAAGTGCTGATGTCACGTCGCCCTTACGTCCTGAGAAGAGTCTCACGCACTCCGCGTGTTTGACATACAAACAGCGTTCACAACCTCAGCCCTCGCCTTCCTCCACATCCCACCCCGCTCCACCGTCCTTCACATGCTGACTCCGTCAGGCAGCCGGCGTGGCAACAAGGAGAGCACAAAAAGTCTTCGCAGTCCCCTTGCAGTTTAGCAAAGACAAGACAAGGGAGACTGAAATGGCCATTTCTGGCTTATTAGCCATCGTCATCTAGTCATACCCAACCCATAAGTGTGGTATACTCGACGCGCGAACTCGTGATCTGTTAGTTAGAAGTCCACGCCTCCAACTAGTGGACCACAAGCCCGTTGCCCTGTCGGATGGGTATAAATCGGTTATTAAAAAATTACATATTTTGAGATTTTTTTATGCCGCGATATGCCAGTTCATAAAACATCGTGTCTCTATATTTGCTTATTTTGCTTGTAAAGTTCATGATATGGCTCAAATCCACTGCTAATTTAACGTATCCCGCATGGTTTCGTTTTATGGCCGTAGAGAAATGCATAGTTTTCTGTAGGAAAAAATATAGTGTTTGTAGTATGGAAACCTTAACTATAAGTGCAACGGTAGGTTATATTTAAAATCGAATTATGTCCTTTCTTCAAGTATAAAATTTGAAGAAGACGTAATTCTTTACCGAATGAACAAGAGAATGAATATTTTTATGCCTTTTTTCCAACAAATGCAATTGAACTTTAGAGGACATCGAAAATCTGTGCGAAAAACTCATGCCACATAAGTAGTCACTTTTATAAACAGTGGTTTTCGCATGCGGCCGTAAAGATGTTCATCCGAAAGCCGGAACCCCGAGGTATCTGAATTATTATGGGTCATGCTGCATAATGCCGTCTTTTAAAACTATACGTAAATACTCTTGCCGATACGGAAATGCATTTCAGAATTCCGTTCAACATTTCAAGTCTTGGCACACGTGCCGTAAAATAGGCCAACGGATGTACAAATAAGAAAATTCGGCAAGTTTGGTCCTGCATCCGCACTTGAGAAATATTAAACTCATGACCTACTGAACTCTTCTGAGTAGGCGTGATTATGTTAAAATGTTATACTTTACAACTGCACTATTGAGACATGTGCAAAATGCACTAACTAGATACGTCAAAGGCACAACGCTCAGCGCACTTGCATCCTGTTCCGAGTCTGCTTGCGCTAGATAGTCCAGATAATGGTTAGGATATATACGTTAAGTGCACAGGAGGAAAGTCGTTGACGGTCTCAAGAAAATTTCACAGTATATATATATATACAGCAGAAAAGTTAAATGACGTGCAGGCGAGCAGCCTTGTTTTGGGGTCATAATTGCGTTCTGTGTTGTCGTCGCATTTCAACGTGTAGGCTTTCTGTCTGTAATTTACCTATATTTTTATTATCATTATTACAGAGCAACCTACTTAAACGTAGCATCATGCACTTGTCTTTTGGTTCATCATTTGACTTATTCGTTTCCTTAACTGCCTCCGGATCCTTTCCCATACCTTCTATCATTATTTCTGTACGCCATACGAACGACCTTGGCCACGCGTTGCCAATTCCTATTGGCTGTTTGATGTCGATGTATACCACCACAGTTCTACAGTATTACTACAGCGATCAGAGTGCATATTCAGCATATGAAAAATTCCAAACACTTTTGAAATTGCATGACAGTATATACACTGGACAGGAAATTTAAATGACGTACGAGTGAGCGGCCTTGTTTTTGGGTTAGAATTGCGTCCTGCGTTGCTGATGCATTTCAACGTGTTGGCGTTCCGCTGGTAATTTATCTATATTCTCATTATCATTATTACAGAGCAACCTACATAAACGTAGCATCATACACTTGCCTTATGGCTCGTTATTTGCCTTATTCGTTTCCTTAACTGCCTCCAGATCCCTTCACTTATGTACCTATCATTTTTTGTGTACACCATGCGGAACGACCTTGACTACGCGTTGCCAATTCCTATTGGCTGTTTGTCTTCCTTTTGCGTTTTTGTATTCCTTGCCTACGCATTGGCTTTCTCCACAAGGTGCTCCATATACACTATCACATTTTTACCTTTTGCACTCCTTTTTTCAAATTCCTTCATTCGCCTAAAAGTGCGTATTTTTACAATACCATTTTACTGCCTTCCCTTTGGGGGTACAAACGCATATTCAGCATGTTAACAGTCAAATACTCCTACTCCAAACTTTGGCCCGACAGATGTTACCTTGTACCTTCACCCCATCACACCGGCTACCTGTTGGAAACTTGACCATGGTGAGACAAGCGTCCATTACGTACGTTCGGGGTAGTCGAATGTGAAAGAATCATCCTTCTTGCTCTGCCAACTTGCCCGAATACTCTGTCATATTCTGTTATTATCTCACTTCTGAATGTGTACCACAGTTCAATTTTCCACCTGGACAATTAGTTCTGAACAACTTCCTTCGTCTTTCATTCCTGGTAAGAAAGATAAGGCAGTGCTTCGACAGCACAGTTGGGGAGCATTTCAGATGCGAGAAATTCACCCTAAAGTCAGCTCCCTCCAAATCTCACTGGGATGACAAAACAACGATTCCCTATCATAAGTCAGGGAAGACGGAATGATTTGGACAACCTTTACTGTTTTGGAAGTGTGTACACAAGGGCTCTGTGGGCAGTCGCCGCGAACGCACTCTCCAGGCAAGCTGTTGTCCGGGTCCGCCTTCGAGGTGCTCAAACCCAACGCGTGTGTGCGCCTTTCGTTGCCTCCGCGTCCGTCAGCCAATCAGGGGGTGGGGGACAGCGTTGATTGGCCTGGAGCACTCGCGAGGCTAGTAACAATCCACCCGTATCCCAGCAACGTATCAACAAGGAGTGTGAGGTGGACAGGAAGGCACCGTGGCAAAGGCAGAGGGCAAGGAAACGCGAACTGCCGCAGAATGAAGCAACGGGAGTGTTTCACTAACTGTAGGATGCAGTTTTTATGCCTCCTACAAAGATTTGTCGACCCTGGAAATCATTGCTGATGGCCGCATGTGGTTCAATAATCGCCTAACTGACCACATATGAAGCATGACCTACTGAGATTGCATTACTTGTGTGGGTTCCTGAGTCATTTGACTCGCCGACATTGGGACTGTGAGCTGTGGTCGCCATCACGCTCCCCATGTGGTCATTCACTCTGTCAAAGCAAGGTCTCCACACAGAATATGTGGGCAAGACGCCATTAAGCTCGGTGTTCGACTAAAGGCTATAAGAGTATGACTTAAACCGTTTGCGGCTCACACGGTTGTCACCATTCGAAAAAAATTTAGACCGCCCCCGGCTTGAATGTGCAGTCGGATCCCGTCGAATTGGCTGCGACATGGGCACAGGCGTTCTTCCTCCTCGCTGCTGTTGTTGCTGCGGGAAACTCGACCATCCGCGTCCCACATGGTCCTCCTGTTTCTCCAACGTAGTTGTTTTCTTCTCAACTGCCTCCCCCCAGACTCCAGACGTTTCCTGCCGTGGCAGCAGACCCTTCGATTTCGTGATTGCCTCCGGTATGCGTGCATTAGCCTTGCCTGATTTCGTCTCTAATGATGGATTTGAGAGCGCTTCCGAAATGTCAGGCACTCTGTGTTCCCCCAGGTTTTCTTTTCGTATTTGCAGCAACATTGACGGTATTTGTGAAGGATCGTCTGGTTTTAAGCATATTAGCAAGTTGGCCATATTCCCCGACGAGTAATGTGTCTCGATCCGAAAGTGTTGATGTGGGAAGCCTATGGTAGATTTTCCTTTATAGTTCGTTGACATTTGGGTTTAGGTAAATTCCCAAGGACAATCTCAGTAAGCGATCTGAGCTAGGCTCCTTTCGACTCATGGCAACTAGTTCCTAGGTAGCCCTTAACAGGCAAGTCATTCAGAGGCCACAACTTTGTATATGACAACGAAACCCTGTGGCAGTTCGCGTCTCCTCACCCTCCGCCTTCGTCACTCTGCCGTCCTCTCCGCCTCACACTTCGTGTCGATACGCTGCTGGGACGCGCGAGTACTCGAAACCAATCAACGCTGTCCCCACTCTGTTTGGCTGGCGACGTGGAGACGACGAAGGTCGCACACACGCGCTGAACACCCTGAAGGCGGACACAGACAACAGCTTGCTTGGAGCGCGCCCGCGGCGACTGCCTACAGAGCCCTTGTGTACGCACTTCCTCAGACAGTAAAGGTTGTCCAACTCAAACCGTCTTCCCTGACTTTTGATTGGGAATCTTTATCTTGTCGACCACACGACTTTCGACAACCCCACATAGCTTATTAAGCATCGAGTTAATGTGTGGACATCCATTTGCAGAGGAGGGTGGGCATCATGGTCTGTGATTGTGCGAAACCATGCACATTAAACATTATCGTCGGTCAGAATATTTTTCAGGGTGGTTCTGCTAATGGAAATGTGAGCTTTACGAGTAAAAGTCGGTATTTTTTTCCGAATTCGGAAAACTTTGTATGATAGTGGGATTGGAGTAAGCTCAGATTCCGTCGGGCGTCTTCCGGGCAGCAGACAGTAATCCAACCTCGAAATGTGTACGCGCCAGAGTTTTGCACTTCAAAATGCCGCCTGGAATTCACTTCCAAAAATCAGCATCGCTAATCGGCTCCTCTCATATTCCGAGCCTGTTTTAAGTGCTTTCCGCCTTCTTCCTCGTGCACACCGAACAAATAGTCGCCCGTGCTCTGCCTCCTGACTTGCAGCCGCATTTGATATCTGCACTGGCAGGTCAGCACCGATGGCAGTAGCCCTCTGGCCTGGCAGTTCTCAAAAATCCTCTCTGAATTAATAATTTCCACTCTTTCTACAGTTTTCATGCATGGACCTGGGTGTGGTTGTATAGTCTTCCTGTTTGCTATGGCTGATGATCTGCAATTTTGGGGAAATAAATAAGTACTTAAAAAAGACTTTTCTCCAATATATATTTCCTATTTACACCGTCTTCTTCACATATTTACTTTGGATTTTTCAATATCTACAAATATACCATGGTAGGAGGGCGCTCACCGATCGTGTTACGAAACTCGCGCGTCCCGTTGTGACTTGGGGCTTTCTCTCTCTCTCTCTCTAGCCCAGCTTGCAGCTGCACAGCGGCAATAACCTTGCCGATAAAGAAAAGAGAGACTGGACTGTTCATTTCTAGTGTTGTCATCTTCAATGAGTTGTGGTACATGTTACACTTCAATCATTATATTTTATGTAATGATATAAGTGCTCACAGAAAGTCGCATTGTTGCTGCGGTGCTATGTAGATGATCAGGTACGAAGGCACCCGTGACTTAGGAAATCGAACGCAAAGTAATTGTTAACAGCCTCTTTTAAATAGACCAAAAATTATCCGACGAAAGGACCTAGGTAACGGTAGGGTGCAGGGCCCCAATTAGCTGGCAACTAAAAAACTCAAATTCCGTGTGATTGCTACCATCACTTATTCCGCTCTTCGTCCTGTGTGTTGCCCCACCCCTAAAAACCCCTCTACCACTATTCAACGTATCGCAAGGTCCACAAACCACCTCAAGTGAGTTGGGATCACAAACCATACAGTTGCCAAGGGCCTGCTCGGCGTTAAATAGTGCACGTAACATTTTACAGATCTAACAAAAGCGGAGACGATCCCCAGGAAGCAGTCTTCAAGAAGGAAGCACGATCGGTGGGACAAGAGCTTTATTAGCCTGACGTTTCGGATTTCGGCTTGAACCCATCATCAGAGGCAGAATCAGATACGGGTGGTTCATGCACAAGGGGCTGAAGTAATTAATAGTATACAGTCGCCATGCCACCGTGACGCCCTGACGATTGTCTGATGGCCCACATTCGCGTTTTTAGTTTTTTTCAATTGCATCACGTGTGCTGGATGTTGGTGTGATGATTATTCGACCATTTGATCCACCGACCCTGGCGTTGGAAACAGTGTTCCCCTGTGCGCTTCCCACGTGTCTAATTACACCGCCTAGGCGAAGTCTCATCACTGAGTATGGAAGGGGAAGGTGGTTGCACTTACTGACTGACTGGGAGCAGCGAACCATGATTCAAGTAGCTCCCTGCTCACGCGGTTGTCACCTATAGCGAGAATTTCGGCCTCATCGAATTTGAATGTGTGGCCGTATCTCGTCGAATAAGCCGAAACTTGAGAGCTGGCGTCATTTCTCTGCACCACTGCAGTGTGTTCGGCCATTCTCGTTCGGAGCTGTTTTGCGGTTTCTCCAAAGTAGTTGCTTTGTCCGCAACTGCACCAGATCCGATAAACGACTCCAGACGTTTTTAGCCGTGGAAGCGGGTCTTTGGGTTTAATTACCTGACGTCTGATGGTTGTCCACGGTCTATGTGCAACTCCACATCCAAGTGGTGCGAGGATGCGGCCGATAGTTTCCGAAACGTTCTTGACATAAGCGGTATAGGTGGCAACCGCATGAGCCACGAGTTGCTTGAGTCATGATTCACTGCCCTCCCAGTCCATCAACAAGCGCAGTGAACTCCGCCTTCCATACTCAGTGCCGAGACCTCGCCTAGCCAGAGTAATTTACCACGTGGGAAGCGCACAGGTGAACACTGTTCCCAACGCCACGGTCGGTGGATCAGTCATCACACCAAAATCCAACACACGTGATGAAATTGCCGCAATTAAAGACGCGAATGTCGGCTATCAGACAGTCAGCACACCTAATGCGACAATCCCTGATGAAGGGCAGGGAGCCGAGAATATTCATAGGTACGCGGTAGCACGACGACTGCATCCTATAAATACTGTAGCCCCTTGTGCATGAACCACGCCTATCTACCTTTGTTTCTGATGATGGATTCGAGCAGGATTCCGAAACGTCAGGCTAATAAAGCTCTCATCCCATCTACCGTGTCTCTTTTTTTACAGATCTTGTCGCGCCAGCGTAAGCCATAGGTCACTTCAACCTTCGGATTCGCTTCAGAATAAAGAGAGGAATTAGACCCCAGACGAGGGAATGTTAATTCCGCACAGACGGATGGAAGAATAGGTTGGAACAAGTCGGAGTCCGCAGGAAGGAACACTTGTCGGGCCGCGATAACGAGAATCCAGCCTGCTAGTGGGACCTCGTCAGCCTCATTGTACAGAAGAATGGGCAAATTTTTCATGAATATATGTCGGCTGACTCTATCATAGACCACCATGATTAAGTACAGGTGGCCTATCACTCATGCGGCATCCACATGTGGGCAAAGAAAATCATCATCAATTACCACAGACAAGCGTCGGCCTTGAAGTTGATTGGCTGGTTTCCATAGCTGTGATTGGCCGAGAACCTGACTGCCACTAGTACGCGCGAGAAGCGCGGCGTCTGAAGATGCCCTCGGAGCGGGACCACCACAATCTCATCATCCGCCCACCACATCCACACCTCCACATCCTACAGACCCTCACAAAATCCAAAATATACACACTGTTAGAATTCACCTTTATTATGTATGGCTGCAACAGCAATAATCTGTCATGATCGTTTTCAGTCCTATGAATAGGAGACCTCCTTAATATCCGTCTCTTTCTCACTTCTCGGCGAAATTGCATAAAGCACAATAGCAAGGACTATCTGCACAATGCATAGCAACACAAGGAATCCGCCCAGTCCTTTAAAGACCGGAGATATTATATCCAGTATTTTTCCGGCACAGCCCTAAATTGAAAAAAACGGAAGTACAATGTATGGAATTTCGTGCTATATTTCTTGCTCACTATTTCGAAATAAGGATATCATTGAAAGCTTCTCCTTAAAAGATGAAACCAATCTTTCAGCATCCTACGTCTATATCTGCCTATCACAGCGGCATCGAAATGCTCTCATTCCAGGAAATACAGGAACCGATTAAGCACTGATTATTTCTGCTATACGACATTTCTATCGACTGTAATGCCAATGTCTATTTGTGTCGCACAACGTGGTGGACGCAGAGCTGGTGACTCACGCGAGAGTTGGTTCATAATGCTGATGGACGTGTGCAGTATCTATCGTACTCCCTCCTCAATCACCAACCTGGACGATGTGTTATATATCTCTAATCGGACGCCTAATTTATACTTCTTGCATCTACAAGGGGAAAGTCCTCGTACACTTTAGGTAGTGCTTTACGGCATTAAATCAAGGAGAAAAAATGGGCATGGTCGGAGAACTGCAACTTACCACTGAGTAGGCATTTGATACGTTGCAGAAGCCAGTGTTCTCTGGACAACACGATTCTGGCAAATTCCATAGGTAGTAATAATAGTTGACAGAATACATTCCGCAGCATTCCAACTAGTGGTCAGAGATAACCTATGTTTTTATTGACTTGACCTACCGTGCTCTGCAACGTGTCCATGACGTCTGGGTCAAAAGAAAGTTGATCCATAAGGGGTGAACTAAGGACTGCAGTAACCTGTGTGTGAGAGAGAGGGTGGTTTTAAATAAACGGGCTAGCCATTCTTACGCGACTTCCAAGGATGAGAGTGTAGATGCCCAGTCCAATGTGTACAATGGCGGTCAGGATCGACAGAACTAAGAACTGCGTGATTGTTAAGGTTGAGCAGAAAGCACATGTGACGTACTGTCAAAAATGGAAATCGATTGCGAGAAAACAGGCTAACGCCGGCAAGGATGGCCAATAGGATAAGCAGCACGCCAAGGCCAATCATCATGCGCTGAATACTCAATGGAGTATCGGACAGACCAAATGATTGAGCAGGTGCGTTCGCAATGGTGCCGACCACGATGCCCACGATCCCAATGGCCTAAACAGAAGCAATCGGCAGTTAAAAGTTGCAAATAATGAGCTTCTGGGCAAATGGCTGCAACACTTTGCATGTCCCAGGTGGGTATTTGGTTCAGTACTAGGTTAAGTGGCATGCTTGGTCGGTTAGTTATCAGCAGTGCTCTTACCTACTGGCTGATAGGTCATTTATTCTGTGGTGTCCATATAGACCATATAATTACCACTGAAATATTACAACATTTGAAACTATGAGAAGACGAGTGAGGATGGGGATCAGAAACGCGATCTCACTTGACTGTCAGATTGTTATTTCTCTACAGGATTAGTTGTCCGTAGATTTGTGGAAATTTTCGGCCTCTGGTACATGGGGACAGTTGCGGGTTAGTTGGGTGTTGGGAGTGCTGAAAGGTTCGTACGTTACGGGGGCATGGGGTGGAGGTGGGTTACGTGGCAGTGTAGATTAAGTGTTTACGGGTTTGGAGGTCTTAGGCTTAAGGGTTAGGGTTTGGAGTTAGTGTCGGTGGGTCTGCTAAGGCAAACTAACAATTCTGAGAAACAAAAGTAAAGCCGGAATGGGGATCTCTTTAATAAATCACTTGCATATAAAACCCAGAAAGGAAAATTTTGTCTAATACGGGTCTTTATTTCTGTGCTAACGCTGGAGTGGCATGGGAATATGAGCCCACTCGTGCAGCGTAGGTGGCCTTCCGTTAAACCCCACTAAGCGAGCCTGTTCCACTGTCCTAACCCTAACCCCAAAATAACCTTAATTCCAGCCTTAACTTTAACCCTAACCCCAATTTCCCGGACGTTAAATAAAAGGCTGCCTGTACTAATGAGGAGAGTTTGCTATCCCCGTGTCCTTCCTTAGAATTATTCTTAATAACCACCACCCACCATCGAATGAGGGGAAAATTGAATTTTCTTAAAAACATTTTCTTCGGCAACCCTTCTACACCACTGACTGCCGATCCCTGCATACTGACCGACTAGATCCCTAAACTCGAATCTTCAATCCAGACCAAATTAACCTTTTCTGCTCTGCCTCACACAGCATTGAATACTGACGATAACAACTTTCAGGATGTGGTCCCGTTACTCAAGTAATTGAGCATTTAACTATGACGCTCCAGTACTACCAGACAGTGTCCCAATCCAAGGCCTTGCTGGCACTTGATGTGGTTGTTTTATGGCGGCAAATAATTCAAAGTTGACCTTTTCAATTTCCCCCTTATCGTTCTCTCCCTCCTTCTTTGCCAGGAAATACTTTCCTGCATTAAGATGGCAAAGTAAGGAGTGCTGACTTTAATTATTATTCAATTCTTGCATTTTCAAATGAAAGTATATCTCACGTCTGATGAACACCGGATAGGACGGGGTTTAGCTTCGATAAACGAACTCTAAGTGATTGGACTGTTTTGCCGGTTAACTTTGTCACAGTGGCCTTCGATGAGGCGAATTTTTGCCCCTAACTTCCAAAACCAAGGGCCATTATTACTGACTCGTCTCGCATGTGCTAGAATCACCGAACATCCGAGGCTCTGACTTAAAGCATGCCTCACGAACTCATCCGGTAATACCAAGCTAGACTAAATAAAAAACTAAAAACAACATATAAACATGAAAACTTTCTTAATTGTAGAACAGAGTAGCATGATATGGACGTACCAAATGGCAAAGGCAGACGACACCCAGGACAACATTGAAACATATTCGCGATGTCATTGTTAACTAATAAACCAAGATCTACAACCACTCTATTAAATACTAGTTCATTTCACTTTGGATTGATTTGCAATGAGTCCTGTTTCTATTGGACTGACTGGTCACCACTCCACGCGAAAGAGGTCACTGGTGATCGCAAGAAACCAAGGAAGCCTATTGGTTAAATTTTCGGATCAGTTGAAAAACAGTATTTGGTGGTGAATTGTGGGGTAGCTGCGGCAAAATATTCATTCTAAAAATTTCAAAGATTCACGACCCAGCTAGACGATAAACTAGGACTACTGCGGACCATTTAGAATATCCATCTATCACGAACTAAGAGACGACACCTCGGGCAAATGATCTGTAGGTGCCTAACGAGGTCAGAACTTGAGGCCTATGTGAGGCAATGAGTGAGCAGAGGATGAATAGCAGACTTTGCGATCAGAAAGGTGCCACGGTTGACGGACTGACGCGTTAGCGTCTGTCGGACGAGACACCCGTCGCCCCCACACCGTCCCCGGGTGACGTTAGACTGTAGAAGACGCAGTGCTATGCAGATAATGGTCTTAGTATGTAACGTTTCCAGTGAGACAGCACAGTTCTCTCCGCCAGTCACGGCATCGGCTTGTGACTTGCCCCGTTCAGTCATTGTGACAACTTGATGTGAGATTCAAATGCACTAGGCTCTACCAATAATCCCACCTCCAAATGCTGGATTAGGGTTATTTGAAGATGAAGATAGGCTCTCTGGAAGAGGTTTATTTAAGTGCTGACGTTTCAAAGAGCTCGGTCGGCTCTTCATTGTCAAGGCGTAAAATGCACTTAATCGATCAGAAATTTAATTTAAAGTGGCATGTTGTGTTGACCGGCCTCATGCTGATCGATTTTTCTCTCCTTCCGCCGCCTCGACCTCTCGGGAGATGGTTGACGGGCGTTTTGCCTGTGTGCTTTGTGAGTCAACACTCCGTCGAGGGGAGCTGATTGGACTTTAGTCGGGCGGTCGGTTTGGCGGTTCTTCTTCTTCCTTACCGAGTAAACTCAGCGTCGGGCTATCTCCGTGCGGCATTCTTAAGTCCAATGTGGTTTTTGTTCCTGAACTCACGACTGTGATGACGTAGGACTTTGTAAGCAGCAGGAAGGTCAGATGCCTGTTGATAGAAAGGGCATCGGAGAACCACGCCTCGAGAGTTAGCCGTTCTGTGTTTGCGTTGCCTCGGCCTAAGATGATAGTCCTCTGGAGATCAAAAGTATACCCCGTTTCTCCAACGTGTGTTGCTAGTTGAGAGTTAGGGTCTAACCTCCGAGTGGCCGACTTGTGTTCTTGTAGGCGAGTTTGCAATTTCCGACCGGTTTCTCCCACATAGTTGCAGTCGCCCTCATTGCAATTTATTTTGTAAATGACTGCTGAGGTTTCGGCGGATGGCAATGGGTCCTTAGGTTGAAACAGGCGACGTCGAATTGTTGCTTGTGGTCGATGGGCTAGGCCTACACTGGTGGGCTATAACAGTCGCGAGATCGCTTCATAGACCACTCTAACGTAAGGAATGGCCCTCCAGATTTCGGGTTGCTGCTCATTTGGCCGTCGCCTGGGCGCCCAACGTCTGCTTCTCTCGATGAAATGCCTGGGATAAACATTGGCTACAAATAGGTTCACAAGTTACAATCGTTCGGCCCTTTTATCTTCTGGCGTGCTGCAGTGGGTTTCGACTCTTTGGAATAGAGTGCGGACACATTTACGTTTGTGAGACAGAGGATGGTTGCTGTCGAAGTGTAGGATTTGTAGCCAATGGTTATCCCAGGAGGCTCAGCTATATGCAATTGTATGCAGAGTTTCTAGTGAGACAGCACAGTTCTCTCCGCAAGCCTCGGGATCGGCATATGACTTGCCGCGTGCCATGATTGTGACAGGTTGATGTGAGATTCAAATGCACTGGTCTCGACCACTACTCCCACCTCCGAATGTTGGATTAGAGTTACCCAACTTATGGTCAATGATGGCGTAAATGTGTACTTGGTCGAGGTCGATAACGAGACCAGAAGGGGTGCAATTGTAGGGGGACATGTCGTTGATTAACATCCCCTCAGATGCCCAAGCCTGAGGTCACGCTAATCAAGTCCCGGGGCCAGCAGACAATGCGGCGAATGAGTAGTTTTCACACTCCTGGGTGGTGCGGACGGCGAGAGGGAGTTGGTGCCGAGGGTTTCTGGGTGCGACGTTGTTAGGGCGATTTAAGCTATGTGCACATTTGCACGCAGTAGATGCCAAGTGAATCGAACTTGATGTATGAGAAAATATCACAGGTGTAAGGCGTATCGGCAGATGGATGGGACTGACGATCTCCCTTATCCATGCCGGCGTGTTCTGCCAACAACTGAACCCTTCTCATCACGCCCGTCAGTCACACGAACTAATCCATGCGCTCTGTCGTGGAGCAGACAGTGGACATCATCAGTAACGACGGTCGAACTGTTGTTTCCTTTAAAATAAATCGTCACTTGCCCTTGTACTTTAAACCGACATATTTTTTCAGCTTTGGCACGATGCATCGCTTATTTACACAATAAAAAAGTTTGTTTGTTTGTTTGTTTGCGTGTGCTAATTAGTGACATCGTCCTTTGATGGTGCTTGTGCGCGCTGAGACCAGTGAATTCCCACGTTGCGTACGTGGCTCAATAGTCAGGAAGTCTACACGCCCTTTTTTCTTGAGCCATGGTCACTTGAGAACAGTTTGCTGAATTTTTGGTCATCACACGGTGGACACCCACTCTCTCTCTCTCTCTCTCCGTTTTCCCTACGCAGCCTCAATCGTTCGACATACTAGATTTGGAAATGCGGCTTGCTGTAAAAACGACAGATTTTTGTGAGAAAAAAGGCGGTCTTTGGGTTTTTGCATTTCAGTCAAAGGAGGATTTACCAATATCAGGATTTCTAC